AGAAGAAGTAGAAGAAGAAGCAGAAGAAGAAGAAGAAGAAGAAGAAGAAGAAGAAGAAGAAGATGATGATGATGATGATGATGATGATGGTTGATGTTTTTAGTATTTTGAACAATCTTAATTAACTAATTACCGTAATATTAAACTTGAATTGATGTTTTGAATTTGAACGATGGTAGCAAGTTATTTTATTTCAATTGATATATTCTGCAAAGTTTTTGGATTTGTTAAAAATACAAGAATGGTAATGTACAGAATCTGTAAAACTAAAAAAAAACAACCGGTGGCTACCCCGACGACGTGTCATCGCTATAGGTATTTAATCGACAACTGCGGAAACCTATTATGACGACAAGTCATCGTAATAGCTTCAACCTATCCCGACGATAAGTCGTCGTTAAAGGTTTCCCAACGACAAATCGTCGCCACAGGTAAATGAAACTTTATTTTTTTTCCCAAAAATATGCTTGACGAAAGCTGTATCGACTACATGTCGTCGGAACAGGGGGAAGTTATGCCGACGACATCTATTCCGATGACCATATTGACCTATGCTGACGACTTAGTGTCGACGCATATCGTCTGTATACCATATAGCGATGACATGTCATTTGGATAGGGTCCGAAATTGTCGTCGCCATAGGGGGTTAATGTTATACTGAAAACTAGATCGTGAAAAACACGATAAAAACAAAATTGAAAAATAGAGTTACAAAAAGAAATTGTAAAAAACTTGTAAAAGAAATAAGAAAGTAAGTTGCAAAATAGATTTTGAGAAAATACGTAAAAACAAAGTGAAATAATATAGAAGTTACAAAGACATGTAAAAGCCAAGTAGAAAAAATAAGTTTAAACCCAAAATGTGAAAAAGCAGGTGGTGTCTATTTATTATCTATGCAACACTTGGCTTATCAAAATAACAACCAAACCAAACCAAGATGATCGTTAACACCACATTAGTTTGAAGTTTATGTTGACACCAGGAACTGACCCCTCTAGAAAGCTAATGTGGGAGTTTGTTAGGGTTTTCCATATTTGATCAGGAGCCACTAGAATTTGAACATGTTTCAGGTAACGAGACCAATAAGGGGTTTCTTTGGTTGTCGTTGTGTTCTCCAAGACCTCCCTAAGCATTACCCTGCAGAAGTAATTCTTGTGTCTAAATAGCAAGTCCGGCCTTGCATGTACGTGCTTGGGATGGCAAATCTCAAAGAATGCATCGAGAAATGGGGATCGTTCCCACATGCATTAATCCCCATTCGTTTCAAACCACAGTTCTTGCACGTTCGTAGCAGGGGGAGACAGGAGCCTTGTTCTTAGATGGTCGATGTCGATGTCCAATGGCAGCTCAGAGTTGAAAGTTGTTATACGAACATAGCACTTTTCTGACAACGTGAGTGATTCCTTCATCTTCAGAAAAACATAAGCATCAACAGGAAGATCGAGTCTGAGTGAAACCTCAATTGGCTTGAGAGTAGAGACCGGAAACAAGAGATTAGGCAAAGCGACACCATCAAAGCAGAAAATAAGTAATTTTGGAGCATTTACTCTAATGTCGATAAGCGTGTATGGGCACAACTTCAAGGTCAATCTCTCGATCGAAGCACATGTGAAATGGAAGCTTTCCAACTTCCAAGATGACATATCACCAAGCGTCAAACTCTCGAGAAAAGGAAATCCCGATTTGATCTTGTAAAGACACGCATTGTCGGTTATCACACTACCGTCTAACATTAATTGTGTCACGTTGCTTCTTAATGATATTGAATCGGATTTGAAAGGAAAATGTAGATTGCAACTAAACCCACTAAGATTCGGGACATCACTGATTTCGAAAGCAGTAGACTGTTGATATCTACCACCCACAAATATTCTTAATTCGTAAAGACAATGAAGGTTTTTAACCTTGATGGTTTTGAACCCCTTGCAACTGAAAAGCTTTATCTTCACAAGCAAGCTACAAGAAGACAATATGGCATGGAGTGCCTCTTCACTTATGCGCACACCATCCAATTGCAATTCTCGTAGGGACACACAGTTGATCACAGGAGTCGTCATCAAAACAGAATAGATATATGGTGATGAAACTCGTATCTAAGTTAGGTTTTTACCCGAGAGTATCTCATCTGGCAATGTAAACGTGGCACTGTGAATACGGATGGAGAAGGAAAACTCTTTGAGACATGTTTTGGTCACCACGGCTCTGATCCATTTTTTAGCATGAGAAGCGGACTCTTGGTTCTCATTCTCGATATAAAGCTCAAACTTTTCGATTGGTATGTTATCACGGAGATACCTTATCAGAGTCCTGTCCACATCCACTAATTTCATGCGCGTTACATTTTGTTTCTTGAGAACTTGAAACCTGAGGGTAGGGATGGTAGACCAAGCGTGTAGCCATGACTTTGACAACAAGCTGGTGCGGGCCGCTTCTTTTACCGACAACTTTGATTGTATATGTTGCATCAACTCAGGAACATCTTCTACTTGTGGTGCACTGCTTCTATTTCTCATCCCTTCAATCTTCAAACCCATAACAACATATAATCAATAACAATAAAAACTAACATCTTATATACACATAAGATTATAAAATCACGTACAACTTGTTGATCAGTTATCAAAACCAAACCAACCATGCCTAAAAAATTGCATATACGTATGCATATATCCAACTTCATATCAAACCAAAAACAGTAGATTTGCATCTAATGCATTACAACGTATAGTTTACCAGGGAACCTGTAGCATCCAGGCATAGGATTTACAAAACAGATTTAGTGGCTTTGGAAACAACAACATCCATGTATGTATATCGCACTACTAAATACGTTTATATCACTTCAAAACCACAAAAAGGTTCAAAATTTCTCTTAGTATCGGTACAAAGAAAGTCAAGACACAGAAACATTGATTGATACCCAGAACTCCAAGGTTGTAAGAAAAAACAACCATATCTTGTAATTTAGAGTTTAATCGCTGTAACTAATGCATTCAGCTGTTCATATGGACGATTTACACGCACCAGAGAGCAGACAAATTGGAGGATTTACCTGATAACAAAAATCGAGAGACAAGCGCCAGCAGCAGCCGGTTCGTCGAGGGAGAGATCAATCACTATTATTCATCATCAAGGGTTCATACTTTATTCAAGAAAAATTGATTTAGGAGGAAACAAAATACGGGTTGTTACCTTTTAATCTGGTAATTTGTTATCATTAAAGTTCAAATTTTCAGAAAAAAAAATACGGTTTATCTTAATTATATGCATATATGTCTTTCGCATATATGCATATAATTTTATCTAAATAAAGTTTTAACCCTTTTGTAACATGTAGAGCAAAAGGGTACCTATCTCATCGTTTTACCGTGTTATTCAACTGCTAAATTACTACGACTTTCATTGCATACCAGACATACATTTAAACTATGATAGGTATAGTTTATGGAACACTACTCTATTTCACTACTACAAGGATACACCATTAAAGTAATTATTTGAGTATAATTATTTTACACTACAAAGTAACACATGCAGTTTCAATTACAAGAGAACACTATAACACTACGCGTAAACTAGTTAATACAGGGTTGTGAGGCATTACTTCGGGTACCCACCAGGGTACAGGTTCAAGTCCTATAAATTATAACCAGAGTCTCCCGGATGGAGAGCGTGAGGTTTGTGTATAGATCTATACGGGACTAACAATCCCACACCCAAACTGCTACCTACAATTAGGCAGGCATGCCTGGGGGTGACAAATGTCATAAAATACCGACGCCTGAAGAACGTTATAGAGGCCACTAGGTCATATTAGCATGGTTATATGAAACTCACAATAGTATAAACAAGGTTTACAGGAATAACACTACTTCAAAGTTTTTATTTTAAATATTAGATCTTCTCTACACTATTTTTCTAGTACAAAACACTTACATTTTGGGAAATCATTCACACAAATGTTTTGATAATTAATGAAACTACAGTACACCATTTTACGCTACTTCTGATGGATTCCAGGCACTAATACAGACACTACAGTACACCATTTTATGCTACTTCTGATGGATTCCAGGCACTAATACAGACACTACAGTACACTACTTTACACTACTTCTGGTGGATTCCAGGCACTAATAGAGTACACTACTTTACACTACTTCTGGTGGATTCCAGGACTAATACAGATACTACAGTACACTACTTTACACTACTTCTGGTGGATTCCAAGCACTAATACAGACACTACTACAGTATAAACACTATTATTGGCACTACTGAAACTCACTATTTTCTAGCACCAAATATGCTGATATAATTTACAAAGTTAAGTACGAGTACGATTTACTACTTTTTAGTACAGAATATACTTATCCAAAAGAAATTTTAACTAGGTGTATACATACAAAAAGGGTTGCATACAAACACAATGGTCATACATTAGTTTTCTTAGTACGAGTCAACAGAACATACATTTCATTACATCAGAAAATATAGGATTTTCTGGAAGGATACACTCACACATTAAAAAGGATCATTTCAGTTAACTCTGTAAGTACCTGGTGAATACGTTAGATTCATACACAATAAAGATCCGACAGACAGTGGAATGTGTGGTTTCCGCCTCATTTCCTGTTCCTTGTTTCGTTTTGGGCTTAGGGCAGAACCACACAGTCGATTGTCTATGCGATCTGAATTGTATATAACTTGTATCCACTAGGTACTCGTAGAAGGAACTAGTATGGGTCACATTTCATCACATCAGAAAATATAGGATTTTCTGGAGGAACATACTAAGATTTTCAAAGGACAAAGAACATACTAAGGTTTTCAAGGAACAAAGAACATATTTTCTAAATACAAATGCTTATGAACTCACCAACTTTAAAGTTAACACTCTTTCAAAACCACTTGTATTCTCAGGACACTAGTAGATAGGTACATGCACAGGTTCAAGAAGACAGAGCATAGTAGCTTCAAGTCTTTATTTTGATATTTACTTTTGGAGTCAACCATGTGTGATTCGAATACAATGTAAACACTAATTTATTAATACAATGGTTGTTGTTGCTTTGATTACTATTATACATTTGTTGTGATACTGTACATAACGTCCTCCGCCCCCGAACGTTTCTGTCGTTCCGGTTTGGGGGTGTGACAATAGGCCACTGTTAGGCTTTGGGCTTTCATGGATTTGGGCCTATATTGGGCCTTGGGTGTCTTTTGGATTTGGGTCATTATAGGGCTTTGGGTGCCATTGAGTTTGGGCCTCGGTTATTAGGAATAACCAATTGAGGGAAAGGTAAAATGGTATTTTACCTTGGGTGTTGGGATTAATGAATTAGATTCCCGCTTATGGTTTATGATCCAATTATTAATTGGGGTTTTATCTAATTGGTTAGTACGGGTGATGAGATTATTGCGCTATTAGATCGACAGATTCAAAACAGATAAGCAGGAATGAAGTAATCAAGAACACAAGAATGAATCAAATGATGTCGAATGATTAATATCTCACACCTCAGAAAAGCTCGATGAAGAAATTCGACTGTAGAGGTGTGTTTAGGGTTACAATGCAAAAGTTATTAATGAGAGCAATCACCTTAAAGCTATACATGCATGCATAATATATAGTCTAACCCTACGCTTAAACCACGGTTGGACAGACCCAAACTGGGTAATCAAAATATCAACTTTAAGCCCATATGACGCAACACTCTAAACCCAACAATCTCCCCCTTTGCGTCAATAGAGGCGAGACATCAGTTCGGTTGAGAAAGAGCAGACTTCTTCACTGTCTTGAACACCTTCGGTATAATGGCCAAAAGAGTGTGACGAAAGGATATATACCACCGAAGCATGTCATAGAAGTTCTTATCCGAATCACTGTTCTGTTTACACCTGTGAGTTATATCAAGTACATGCTCCAAGCACGAAGTGGAGTACAGGTGTTTGTCAACAAGAGCGCAAAGGAATTTTTCACCTTCGCTTCTAGTGAACATAACAGTGTGATGAACTGGATCAATCTTGCCCAATTTCATCTTATTTAGATCACTTGGCTTCCCGATACTCTTCACAATCGGCTTCTTTCGCAAAACGCTTGCAATCTCCTAATCCATCTTAGCAACTTCATGGATGTAGGAAGCCAACATTCTCTTAATGTGATCGAGGATCGGCCCATATTGTTCTTGATTAGTAAGCAGAATATTGAACAGCAGAATCCAATCGTGTGGGTTCAGGTTTGGAAGATCAGCTAACGAAATCACATGAACCGATTTATCAGAACCTCGGGTCACCCTGAACTTCACATTGATATATTTCCCAGCAGCATACGGTTTCAATACCTTGACAGAGGTTATTTTCTGAGCACTCCATGTCAAGTATTGGGGTTGAGCAAATTCAAGAAAATAGTCGATCAGATCTCGATCAACCTGTGGGTGAGGAGAAGGGACTTCAACCGTTAAATAAAAATAATGGAACACGAATGCCCTACAGGTGATGGTCATGTCAAATTGAGAATCCCTCGTGTTGTCGCAGTCAAATGAGGTAACAGGTTCTAACCAGGGAGTGCTGGGAGACTCAATCGCTTCTTTAATTAATCTTTCTCGGGTCCAAGTGGGAAAGAGAGCCTGCTTGCAAACCAAGTCATCTTGAGCTGCTTTCTGCTTTCGCTCTTTCTCTTCTTTTTCTCTGGCTATTCTCAAATTTTCATCAGCCTCTTTATCCCTTTTCTTCCGCTTTAAAGCATCAGCAATAGTTTCTTCTTCTTCATCATCACTATCTTCCACAACACCCTTTGGTTGTTCCTGTCCACCGGAACCCGAAGCTACATTAACCTTTGGTTCAGTTTTGATAGTGACTTTAGGTGGAATTGGAGGATTTTGATTATCTTCTCCCCCTTGTTGCGGAGTGACCACTGGCTCCGTAACACCCTGAATCTGAATTAAAATCTGAATAGCAGGAAGAAGTTTAGCTGTCAAGTGAATCCGGATGGTGAGGGTGAGAACAGGATCATGAGCATTGACAAGATTACTGAGAATCGAGAGAACATCCCCATCACTGCTTTTAAGAACTGCCCTCTCAGTCTTAAGTGATGCAATCTCCTTCTGAGCTTGAGCAAGATGAGCATTTCGGACTTCAACTTGTGTAGTCTTTAGAGCAAGTTCGTCCATAATCCTGTTTTCCATGGCTAGGTCAGCCTGAAGCTTATCAAGGCGAGAATGGACCGAAGTGAGAAGAGAAGTGTGATCGGCTTGGAACACAGTTCGAACAATATCAAACTTTGTTGTCTCTTCTTGAAGGGACTTTGCTAGAGAATCAACAGAAGAATTAACCTTCGCAGCATTGGAGTCGGCATGACCTTTGAACGATTCCAAAAAGATTTTGAATCTTGAACTAAAGTTGTTACTTCGGTTGCTGCTTTCTTGCAGGTAGATGTGGAGGCATCCACAGCCTTTGTAGAGCTGTCGATTGAGGCTGTATATTGCTGAAGAGCAGTGTCAAGAAACGCTTT